GGGCTCCCTGCTCGGCAGGGAGTCTGCTTCTCCCTCTGACCCTCCCCCCTCTCATTCTCTCTCTCTCAAATAAATAAATAAAATCTTTAAAAAAAAACAAAAACAAACAAACAAACAAACAAAAATTTTAAATCTTTCATTATAGAAAGCAAGGGCAGCAGTAAACATTTATTGAGTACCCGCAGTATGCTAGGTGTTGCACGGACTGTGGAAGTTAACAAAGCACCATGAATGTCCTCAAATACAGAAAAATTCTAACCTATTCATTGGGCTTTCTATAAATGCAGTTCATAGCAAACAAATTTCTTTACCTCTTCAGGGAACTTTTCTTCCACCCACTAGTCCTATTTAAAATCTACACAATAAGAAAACCTCTTCCCTGTTAGTCTTCCTAAGTGAAGTTGCTTTTTCCCAAGGCTCCCAAACCACGGGCAGACAGAGTCAACATTCACAGAAAATTTCAGACTTCTTAGAGGCATATCTTTTAGATGGACTGTCTTCTCTTCATCCCATTATCTTTGCTAGACCTCTTTCATAACCCTGCTTGAAGACTTCCACTCAAGCCCAGCTGCCTTTTTCATCCACCCTATTTCCCAGAATCATCGTGAGCATGTTCGGTTGTCTGCTAAAATACTCTCCCAATGCCTTTACGTAAGTCCTTTACTCTAAAGGAGTCCTAAAGCCCTCCACCTAGTCCTGAATATCTCAAATTTGCCTTTCTTATCCTGTATGGAAGTATTCCATTACCTGCTTGCGATGTCTTTCTATCTGTGCATTCCTCTCCATTCGATCCTTTTCAAAGGTAATAAAGTTATCTTTTTAAACACACATCTTTTTGGACTTTTCCCAGTCTTCAACCTTTTTAACGGTAGTTTCCCATTACCTAGAAGAGTGTTTCTGACCTTTCCCCTATTGTGGCACAGATTGAAAAAGCAGTTAATATGCAGGGGCAAATCAGGGGGCAAACGTGGACCTGGAGGTGATTAGCCGGAGGCGCCATGCTGATTCCAGCCCTGCCTCAAGCCTCAGGGTTACTTTATGGACATTCACTGGGCCATCTCCACAGAGAGGATAAAGCCCAAACTCCTTTGATTCAGTCTTAGTTAGGATCCTCCCGTACCCCTTCCCTCCAAAAGTGGAGCCTGGAACAAGAACTTGAGTAGAGTTAGTTTGGAAGCAGAAGCCAGGGATTAGATGATGTGAAGACAGGAAGAGGAAAAACCCTCCAAATGACTGGGTCTCAGTTCTCCTGAGGACCTTCAGGAAAAATGTGTAGAGTGAGTCCCACAGTTGTCTGCCAGGAGAACAGGGAAGCAAGACCTTTCACCACAGACCCTTGTCTCTTATGGATGGAGAGTTGCCCCCAGAGCCAGACTCTGCACTTCCAGGCTGCGTCTGCAGCAGAGAAAGTCCTAGAGATTTGTAGGTGTGGGCAGGACAAGTGCACTTAACTGTTGCCCCAGCTGCTCTGTACTCATGCAGGCTAGCTACGGAATCACCAGTGTCCAGTCTGCTCTACCTCTGCACCCCTCAGCCCTTGTTGTGCTTCATGTTAAGTGCGTTCTGTCACTAACTCTTTAAGGAGTGGCCAGTCATATTTTGGAGAGGAAAACAAAAAACAAAAGACAAAAGAACAAGACTTACAGCCAGGGGGGTAGTGAACCAGCTGTTGACTCCGCTAGTCTCAAGCTGGTCTTAAGGCTGTGATTGAAGTTCATCATTTCCCTTCTCTGTCACCCATTTCTGAACACCCTCATACTCAGCAGGAATTCTGCTAGTTTGCCTGGTGGAGGTGGCCCAGACTGTCATCCCTGAGGAGTCTGAGTCTTTGGCTCCCTTGCCCTTTTTGGCTGTCATTGCTGTAATCCATGTTCACGGTTACCACCAGACACAGAAGCACCCAGAGAGGTCCCAGTGAATCTCCAGTGCTCCCTACATCCCTCTCTCTGCCTCTGCCCTATGGCAGCAATCCTCTTTCCTCATGACTGTTGGGGCTGATTATCCCACCTGTCCAGTAGCCCCTCTCTTTGCCTACGGACCCACCAGCGTGAGAGACACACAGTAACCAGGCAAAGCTTAGCTACAGTGGAGCCCTCACCGTGTCCAGTAGTGCGATGATTGTCACCTGGGGTTGATTTTGCCCCAAAGGGACATTTGGTGATATTTGAAGACATTTACAGTTGTCACATTTGGCAGAGGGGTTGCTACGGTTATCTAGTGGGTAGAAGCCAGGGACGCTGTTCAACAACCTACAACGTACAGGACAGCTACCACAATAAAGAAGTATCTGGAACCTAAATGACAATAGTGCCAAGGCTGAGAAACCCTGCCCTAGGAGAAATGATTCTCCCCCCGGGGACATGGACTTTTAATCTCACATGGTCTAGAGCTGTGGGGACAGAAAGTATACAGTCTGCCAGTGGTCTCCAGAGAGAGACAGTCCAAAGATTCACTCACTCCACCCCTTGGTTCCCACGCCCATATATTCTGTTGGGGACACAGGACCAAATGACATCCATTGGGTCAATGCATGGACTGCATTCCAGAGGATGGAGTCCTAGAATTGTCCAGTTAGAAGATAGGAAGGCTGGGGCACTTACCCACCCAGGTCTTAGGGCTGTGGTAGGATGGTAGGACACTGAGGTGGCGTGATGATATAACTGTGTTACAGTGTTACGGTTACAGTTGCGCGGCTGGAAGAGATCTACAGGGATCAGAAGCATCAGAACATATTCAGTATAAGGGCAGGGGCTTTTTCTTTAGTGCCACCGTATACACGTGCCAGGTACGTGGGTTCGTATGAGTGGCTTAATAAGTGTCTCGAATAAAGATGAAATTGCTCTGGGTGAGTAAACAGTGATTCAGTGAATGAACAAAGTCTTGCCTGAAATTTTCCATGTGTATTGAATATTTTAGCGTTGTTATCCATATCTTCTTAGATGAAGAAACTTAGAATGTCAAGTCTGTGGCTTCCCTTTGGATGTCATGATGGCAGCATTCAACACGCCTCGTGTTTATTCACAGCGTCTCTCTTCTGAACTGGATCTAGCATTATCCAGTGTAGAGTAGTTGGTATAATACTAACTTTTAGATTCAGTGTTCTCCTTCGCTCCTGAATGGTGGTTCAGCTGACACGTTCATGGAGGCGTTGAGTGAAATTTTAAAAGAGGAGGAGTATTTCGGTGGTGAAGATGGAGTGTGGAAAAGGCCACAAACAAACAGAAACCTGGGGATAAGAAATCTCTGGGCATGTTTTCAGGTAGCAGTGACAATTAGAGATTAGGACACATGAAGCGTGTATATAGGAGTAAGAGGAAATCTTTGAAAATGTAATTGGAGCTACAGTTTGCCAGGCCTTTGCCCAGCAGGTTAAAGCACCTCAGACCTTCGTACGTGGTGCAGTTACCAATGGTCTGTGACGTCCTGTCTCCGCAGTAAAGCTCCCAAGCTCTACAGGGCACTACATGCTTTATCTCTAAAACCGTGCTGTCCAGATCCTATCTTGCAGGACACGGCTGCGCCTCTGGCATCAAGTTCTTCCTAACCACTCATGTCCACCTAGATAGCATCCCTCAGCTTTTATTTTTTGCACTCCTTAATTCTCATTCACCCAGTGCTTGACACTGTTTTATCTTCACCCCTTGGTCACATAAGTGGCCAGTAGAGGATGAGGCCACTTCTTTTATCTTCTATGTCAGCAAGCAGACTACATGCACATAGGAGGTTCAGTAAATAATTGGAAAGTTAAAAGCATCCGGTTTGATGATGCTTATCCGAATCCCTTCTACATGTGAGTTTTTAAAAATTAGTATGTTTGAGGCAAAAGGTCAGTAGCTTACAGCTGCACATATTGTATGCCTTACTATTTACCTGTTTTTTGTGTGCATCCAAATTAGAGAGAAGATGAGGGGGTATGTATGACAGTGTGGGGGTATTGGTTTTAATGTTTTAGAACTTTTTCTTGTCTAAACCTGAGCCAGAGAATGAACCCAAGTGATCCAACTGGATTTCTTTAGCTTTCACAAATTTTAGAAAATTTAATTTATGAAAGTTAATCGAAAGGTGTCAACATGGTGATTTTTAACGTGGTACCATTTAAGGCGTAGTAAAACAATAAAGATATCAAACTGTTGTGATGAAATCCCATGCATTTGTTTTCCTCACCACCAATAATGGAAATGCCTAATAAAGATTTCCTTTAAATTTTTGTCATTATAGTCATCACTGTTATGTGCACTTTTTCTGCTGGGAGATTCCCCTTCTGCTAGGTTCCTTTTCTTCCTTTCTCCTACCCTACATTTCTCTCTCACGCACACACCCTGTTTTCACTTCTTTCCTGAGTACTTTTGCTTTGAATTATCCTTGATGGATCTTGTTTTTGTCGGCTTATTTCCTAGATGGGAAGTGATGGAATTTTACGCCTCAGTTCTTCAGCACTAAATAATGAATTCTTTGCATATGCAGCTCAAGGATGGAAACAGCGACTGGCAGAAGGTAAATTTCTCTTTTCCATTATTCTTTGGCATATCTGAGTACACGTACTGTACTGAGCTTTGCACCTTTCTCTGATTTCTGAGTCTTTTTCTCTCGCTGAAGTATAAATTAGTAAAAACTCCCATTCTGTTCCAAATGACTTCACTAATTCTTTGTTATACTTGGCAGTTTTGAGGTCCAATATTTTTGAAGGAAGCATGATATCTGGAACATAATAAAAATTTTTGATATAGCTAGATTTTCTTTGGAATGGTAATTTTAATCACTTGCTTGAAGCATTATGTATTTTTTTAATGTCCTAGAGCCTAAAGAATCTTCTTTTAATACTTTCTTCCCCTAAAGCCACCATTTCACCTTATTCTTCCTTTAGTCACCAAGCTTCTTGAAAGACGAAAAATAACGAATGGTACTACATTTTTACTCCCTTACCCTCTCAAAGTGTTATGGTAGGTGTGACTCTATCCACAACTGAAATAACGCCTCCTGGAGAATATTAATGGCTTTCTAATGGCAAAGCCCAGTTTCTTCTTCTTAGTCCTTACATTTTATGTTCCTTCTGCAATATCTCATTTTTTTTTTTACCCCATCCAATTTGAAACCATGTACCTTAGATATTTACAATATATTTTAAATTGTTTCCCGCGGCCGCATTGCCAATAACCATTCCTCAGCTTCCATCCGGAGCTTCTATTCTTCCATCTGATGATACCTGGTGGTGTCTCCACCATTCTCTCTGGTACTTTCTCTTGTAGCTGTGCACATTCACTAAGCAGCCTCTTTCACCACCTTGGTATGGCCCCTATGCCAAATCTTCCACATCTGGCTCTCACTCTTCTTTCCTAATCCTATGTTCCATTCCAAATGCCTGCTGGATCTCCCGAGCTGATATCAAGCACCTGAAAACCATAATGTCACTATTAACCTCACTATCTTCCCTTCCCTTAACCTTACTCTCTGCTCTCCCTTCTGTCCCCTTTCTACTGATGTCACCACCGTCCACAGAGCTCCCTACTTTGAAATTTGATGATCTCTCTTGTCCTCTTCCTTCTCCTGATCTGGTCATGAACTGTCAATTGTGCTGTGAATCTGAATGCCCTGGAACATTCCCACAGCTGCTGGCCTGACTGTACTCTCTGTTTCTCATCTGTGCCGTTCAGCAGCCTCCTGGCTGGAGTCCTCCCATGTCTACACCTGGTTTCTAAACCACTTGTTTGGCCATATTCCTCCCTGAGTGAATGCCATCAGGACCTCCCTCTGTCTCTTGTAGGAAAAATTTAGAACTCTCTTTAAACCATGTATTTGCTAATTGGCCTCAGCCTACCTTCCCCATTTCATTTCATTCTATTCCTACGTTCTCACAATTGGCCACTCAAAAGAACATAAATATACATATTCATATCTCTGTGCCTTGTGAGTTAATTACTTTATAAAACTTGGTCATCCGTCAAAAGCTAACTCAAGTACCATTTCCTGTGTGTGGGCTTCCCTAATCGATGCAGGCAGAATTAAGTGCCTTTTCTTCTGTGCTTTCACTACCTTTATTCTTATAGCCCATACAGGGCTTTCAACATTATCTTGTAGTCAGTTGTGTGCCTTTTATCCCACCAGACTGATTTCATTAAAGACTCTGAATATACGCCATTTAATTCACAGCCCCTAGCATACAGTATATTTGCTGAGGGTTTTAAAGTTCACCTACAACTAAATGACTATTTGAACGACGTTCATAAAGAGAGAAGCTGTAGAAATATTGTCAGTACTCAGCCTTTTACTTTTCAACATCCATAAAAGTTTACTCAAATTAATTGCGTTTTCTTTATTAACTGACAAAAGATATGACAACTTTTACTCAATATATAAGCATTTGCTTTCTAGGAGAGTTTACTCCAGAAATGCAGTTGCGGATAAGGCAAGAAATTGAGAAGGAAAAGAAAACAGAACCTTGGAAAGAAAAATTCTTTGAAAGGTTTTATGGAGAAAAGTAAGTACTAGAGCATTTTTTTTCTCATTTCTCTCAGAAGGAAATGAAAATGTAATTCTCTGCTTCACATAGCACACTCATATGCTGTAAAACTTAATAAACCTGCGATAAAAGGCAATAGTCCCTCAGTGTAAGAAATTGCAGGTAAAATTATAGTGGCATATCAGCATTTAAATTTTTAAAAAATGCATTTTCAAGGGTTTATAACTTGTCCATGAAAATTCATTTTGGACTGAAAGTAGCACATGAAATCCTATAGAAGTCAATTACGGCTTTCTTAACTAGATTTTAGTAAAAATCTCCTGTTTTTAATCCAAGTATATTCATTAAGGAATACTTTAGAGCTAAGTAGTTTTAGACACCCTTAATTCTCACATTTTTCTGAAAATGTTGGCTATGCATATACACTTGTTTAGTCCTTGTTTGGGGGAGAGCCTGATGTATTACTCTTCACTCTATCCATCTTGCTCTTTGAGTGTAACCGGTTTTTAATTTATTATTTTTCTTCGTGTGTTTCTTTTTAAAGTAACACCAGCCACACATAAGTGTGATAGCGACTGAATTAAATTGAAAGTAGTTTCTCCTTTGCCTTACATTTAGAAGGGACATACTGTACTTGAGCATAATTCAAGTCTCAGAGACCATCAGATCCCTAAGGAAGAAGGAAGGATTTCAGAGCCGACAATTGACAGTGACTTTAGATCCTCCTCAGAAAGGATTTCTCCTGGAACTCCCATGTATATACTTTATGGTTGGAAGTTGTTTTGTGTAAATGACACTGAGGTGGTTGCAGGTAACAAAATCTGTACCATTTGATTTAATTTCATAAAATTTCCCCCATAAATAGGGAAAACAATGTCAGGAGTCTCGTATGAGTGCTCTTCTTAAAAAAGGATCACGTGATTAACCGCCTGCTTACCCAGAGTAGGCTTGCATTTCGTGGAGCGTCCTAAGTAGCAGTAACTCTCAAGTAGGAAGGCTTGTTTTTAGTTGCTATCCTAGGACCGTGGGTGCATATATATCTTTAAGCAGAACCAACAGGAGATAATTAATGTATTTTCTCAAAAATTAAAAATGCAGCAGGCTCCTTATATGCCTTCAGATATTGTCACCAGCAGTATTACTCAAGCCTGGCTGCATCAGAATCCTCACTGGAGCTTTTAAAAATAGATACAGATTTCCGGGACCCATGGCAGACAGACTGATTGGGAATGTCTAGCAGGTGAGCCCAGAAATATGCATTTTTAGATGCTCTTCAGGTCATGCTGATGCCCAGCAGGAGTAAGAACCCTGGAGAATGGGGGCGCCTGGGTGGCTCAGTTGTTGGGCATCTGCCTTCAGCTCGGGTCGTGATCCCAGGGTCCTGGGATCGAGCCCCGCATCAGGCTCCCTGCTCCGTGGGAAGCCTGCTTGTCCCTCTCCCACTCCCCTTGCTTGTGTTCCTGCTCTTGCTAGCTCTCTCTCTGTCAAATAAATAAAATCTTAAAAAAAAAAAAAAAAGAACCCTGGAGAATGACATTGCAGACCACTCAGGAGGGCTCCCCCACCTTGTGTCTGACAGAGGGAATGTTGGGAGCACCCTTTTCAGTGCTGGCAAAAGCACAACTGAGCTAGTTACCTCCAATGTACTGATCTTGAGTGTTGGGCCCCCCTTTTTTTTTAATTCAGCAAAATTGATCCAACATCTCGTCTAGATGCCAGAGGTGTAGACATTTGTAGGGCTTCCTAGGCTCTGCCCTCAGAGAGTGTGTACCCTAGAGCACATGCATTACAGAGGGCTTTCCCTTTTCAGCAAACCGTGATTGAACATAGTCGGCTCTGATACGTGTCTAAGAGCTTTGCAAGTATTATTTTACTAACCCACCCAACAGTCCTATAAGGTGGACGCCATTATTACTTTTACATTAAAAAAGGGTTTAAGAAACTGAGAGACCATGAAACTAAGTAATTTTTCCAGGTTTACCCAGTGTGGTTAAGTAATTTGCTCAGCGTCCTAGTGCCGCAATTCCTTCTCAGAAAAATTCACACATATATAATATTTTTACATAAAATTTGAGGGCTTCCAGACTCCCATGCATATCAGGTTAAAGGCCCCTGCCCTGGAGGGTAACAGCTACAATACTGTGAGTAAGCATGATTCCGTCTTACCATCCCTGAGCTCTGAATACTAACACTTCTTTTATTTGACCCTTTTCTTGCTGTAGTTTATCCATAGAGTTTCTGTCCCCTTATGTCACTGGAACTCTTGCTTGTCTTTTTCCATCTTTGATTACATATTGGATGACAGCTATATTTTGGACATTTCATTGAATGCCCTTCAAATTTTGTTACTTCTAGATGACTTAAGCTACCCCAGTGTGTGAAGGATTGTTTTTCCTAGCATCAGATAATTTTCAGTTGACATGTGCCTTTTCACTGCTCTAAGTTTTCCCTAGAATGTTGCCATCCAAACTCCTCTATTGTTAAGATTTGTTTGCTCTAGTTTTCAGCTGTTTGTCTGAGCTCTTTATTATGGTTACTCTGCTTATAACATAGTACTGTTCTCTATTTGCTTTAGTTACTTAGAGATCACCCATATGTATGCTAACTCAGAATTATAGGAGTTGGTCTGTTCGTTTGCAGTCTAGATTTCTGGACTTAACTGTTTTCCTTTGTGTTGTTATGTGGTGTGCTGTGAAAAACAACCTTCTATGCCTTATGCCATCTTAAATCCATTTTTTTCATGAAAATAATAAAATGCTGACATATAGGTATATTTTATACAGTGCTGTTGTCCACATATATATGTAATATACATATACACACATTCATAATATATACATTTATATATTCCATACATTTGTGATATTTAATAATATTAAATATATTTTGTATGAATTAATAAATTTATTATACCCTTATTAACCAATTAGCAGAAATTTGGCTGCCAGTAGATAGTTACTATATATTCTACACCTAACCTAATATCAGTAGTATCTCTGCTTGACCTAGCCCCAAGGCACCGTATTTCTAGTTGATTATTCTTCTTTAAGTTTATCTGTAATGTAGTTATTCTGTTCCTCTCAGTATAGGATAGTTATAAATTGGAGCTTAGTTTGAACCTATCTTAGGGAAAGTTGAAAGAAAAGAGTCTAATTATGAGGGCAGTACTTCCTATCTTCTTTTTAGAGCCTTCTGAATGTTAGTAAAGAAGACAATGAATACACCCCAAAAAATCTATTCAATATTACTTCCTTTTCATTTTGAGAATTTAAGTAAAAAGTTGAAGGAGATTTCACTGAGGTATTTTCCCGCATTGATACTTTTAGCTGTATTTCTTCAGTCAAATATGTTTGAGAATATTTCTCTCTTTGTAATTGTCTTTGTAATTGTCTGTACTCTAACTTCTTTTAGAACAGCTTATTTCTCTACCATGTGATGCTGACATTGTAAGTTAGTATGACAGGAAATAGTAGTTTCCAGTATTTTTGTAATTCTGATGAACTTTCCCTTACGACATGAATATTAGGTTATCCTAATGGAATAGGAATATCCTTACAGTAAGAGATGACATGAAAGAATTTTAAGGTCTTGCCTCATACAAATATAATCTAATAGAATCAACTTTGTTGACCCCAAATACGTTTGTTATTCTTTAGTGAAATTTCCATATTGTTTTAGGTTAGACACTGAGAGACTAAAATAAGGTTAGTAACACCTCTTACATTGGTTTAAGAGAATTTAATTTTTGGAAGTCATTTCAGTTTTAAGATTTTACAACATACCCATATTCCATTGATCTTATTTGCTTATATGGCATCCTTTGAAGACTGTGCAGTTTTCTGTGATAAAGATATATTGCTAATTTCTGACTAAAAAATTTTCGATCTTGTCCATTCTTTTGCTTTTCTGCCCATATTTTCTAATCTTTTGTAGTCTGTAATTTTTTAATTCCTTTTACATAACATTTGGCAAAGTTCATATCTCCTTGCTTACAGAATAAAAATCTATACCAAATCAATCAATCTATACCTTTCTTAACCAGAAGTAGAGTTTACTTTAGTTACGATTATAAAAGCAGTGGAAGAACTAGGTCATCATAAACTAGTTTACATAAATTAAGCATGTTACTTAGTGATTATAAAATTAATTTGATGCATTTACTTCTGTTGAATATATATACACACACACACATAAATAATTTGTATCTTTCACATTTTGTGGTTGAACAATAATTGAATCTTTCTAATTTCTGTTCAGGTTGGGCATGTCAAGAGAGGAATCGATGAAGCTCACTTCTGGACCAAACAGTGATGGAGCTGAAAGTAGTTCATGTGGAACCTCTGGCCTTCCAGGTCTTTCTGCACAGACTCCCTTAGAAGAGCAACAGTCAAAAAGCATGAAAAGTCCAACTTCTCCAGAGCCTGATTTCTGTGCTACGCTTTGTCCTATGGTAGATGTAGGTAAAGATGTGATGGCAGAATCAGAATCAGAAGATATCTTGATCCCTGAAGAATCTGTGATTCAGGAGGAGATTGCAGAAGAGGTAGAGACTAGTATCTGTGAATGTCAGGATGAAAATCATAAGACAATACCTGAATTTTCTGAGGTGTCTGAAAGTCCAGCCAACTCTCATGAAGAGCCCCAAGTAACACCTCCTGAAGATAACTTGGAATCCTGTGTTATGATGAATGATGTTTTAGAAACTTTGCCTCATATTGAAGTGAAGGTGGAAGAGAAATCCGAATCTTCCCAGGAAGAAATGTCAGTTGTTATCGATCAGCTAGAAGTCTGTGACTCTCTCGTTCCTTCCACTTCATCTGTGACTCACGTCAGTGACACAGAACATAAGGAGCCAGAAGCTGCAATAGAGACCAATATTCCAGAAATAAAAACAGGGGCATCTTCTTTAGAAGGCCGATTTCCCAATGAAGGAATTGCTGTAGATATGGAACTACAGAGTGATCCTGATGAACAGCTTTCTGAAAATGCTTGCATCTCTGAAACTTCCTTCTCTTCCGAGAGCCCAGAGGGAGGCTGTACCAGCCTGACATCCCCAGGAGGGGAAACCCAATCCACCTCAGAGGAATCATGTACTCCAGCCTCCCTTGAGACAACGTTTTGTTCTGAGGTGTCCAGCACTGAAAACACAGACAAATATAATCAGAGAAATCCCCCTGATGAAAACCTTCATGCATCTTTGATGTCAGAAATATCTCCAGTATCCACTTCACCTGAAATATCAGAGGCATCTCTGATGTCCAGTTTACCTTTGACATCTGAAGCATCCCCCATATCAAATCTACCTTTAACATCAGAAACATCCCCCATGTCTGATTTACCTTTGACATCAGAAACGTCTTCAGTGTCTTCCATGCTTCTCACACCTGAGACCACTTTTATATCCAGTTTGCCACTTCCTTCAGAAACATCTCCAATTTCTAATTCTTCCATGAATGAAAGAATGGTGCATCAGCAAAGAAAGTCTCCTTCCCTATCTGAAGAACCACTCTCCCCACAGAAAGATGAAGGTTCTGCCCCTGCCAAGCCACTGGGAGAGAGCCTTCTCTCTCAACAGAAGACTCTATCACATACTCCTGAACCCATCAAAATGGGTTCCTCCATTGTTCCTGAAGCATTTCCATCTGAAGACTTGCACAGTAAGACTCTGAATCAGCAGCCTTGTAAATCCCATGTTGAAACTGAAAAGCCCTATCCTGCTTCAATTCCAGAACTTCCTTCTATAGAAATGATAAAAGTAAAAAATCACAATGTCCTGCAAAGAACAGAAAGGAAAGGGGCATCTTCACCATTGGAGTTACCTGTCTTTTCTGAAGAGATGGAGAATAAGGGAAATGAGCTTCCATCAGCTAAATTACAGGACAAGCAATATGTCTCATCAGTGGATAAGGCTTCATTTTCGGAAGGCTCTAGAAATAAAACACATAAGCAAGGGGGCTCACAGAATCGGTTGGAGACCTCGCATTCTTCCAAGTTGTCAGAGCCCTCCAAGTCACCCGATGGGGTAAGAAATGAAAGTAGAGAATCAGAGATATCGAAGAGGAAGACTGCAGAGCAACACAGTTTTGGAATCTGTAAGGAAAAGAGGGCTAGGATAGAAGATGATCAGTCAACCCGGAACTTACCATCCAGCAGCCCACCTGAGAAAGAACAGCCTCCAAGAGAGGAGCCCAGAGTTCCGCCTCTCAAGGTATGGAATAATAATAATAACATTAAAGACAATTCCATAGCTAGGCTTTTCCTATTTAGATGCTTAATTTTCAGAATTAAATAAGGTTTTCTTCCCTCTAGGTTTTATGTAGCAGTTCATGATCTAATACTCTCAGCACTATTCTAATATTAAATGATCCTTTTTAAGGATTGCTGAGCTCACAAGATAATTTTAGATATATGTATATATTTAGACCTCAGCATTTAAGGAAAAAGAAATAGGGAGGGAGAACTGGGCCTGGAGGAGCCGATAGGCCATGAGATAGAGGGTCTTTTGGGGACTCCAAGGTATAGGATGAAGACCTACATGCACTTGGGGAAAGTAAAGATATCAAAGTTCAGTAGGACTAGGGAAAGCAGTCAAAAGTCAGAGGCATACACAAAGGAGGAGAAGGTCGAGAATATCAGCTCATTTATTTTCCAGCAAATATTCACCACCACCATTCCCTAGCAGAAAGGACCTGACTTATGGAAGAGCCTCATTAAATATTTCTTGAGTAAATCAATGAAATTGCTTTGCACACCCTGAGGGAAAAATGCTGTAGATATGCAGATATACAAATCTTATTTTTTTTTTAATTTTTGAGATAGTAAAGAGGTATTTAACTTCCCAAATAATAAAACCTGTAGTGAAACATTCTGATTTATATATTCTCTTTTGATCCCAGGTAAGTTTTAACTCTCAGAAAACAAATCGTTTATATAAATTGGCTCTGCCTAAGTAAACTGAAAATTAAGGTTAATTCAAAAGAAATACTCTGTTTAATAAAAAAAAAAACAAAACCCTACCCAATATAATCTATATTTATTTGGTGCTTTCATCTCAGTCCATTTATATTGTCCAACAGTTAAGTGGATTATTCCACCATAGGTTTGGTCTAGAATTATAACCCTATTCAAGCTGTGTTGCTCTTAATTTCTTTCTCTTTATTTTGCTCTGCTCTGACATCTGTTTTATGTACGTGTCTCATGATATCCATAAGGCTGACTTTTAAGAGTATAGCTGTAGTTATTCTACTTAATAAAGTAACCCCTATTAAATAAGATTCTAAAGATGTGAAAGATGAACATTAAGCTCCAATTAAAGGCCTGCTATGCATTTTAATTTCTGAAGCAGTGGAAAGAAAAATATAAGCATGCTTTTCATAGGAAATATTTTTGAACATAGCAGTCTGATTTTTCTTGTCAAAAGCTTGTTTTCAATGTACATTTTATGGTAGATGGATATCATAAGTATATTTGGTGTTCGTTTGGCCTTGAGCTCTTGCTTAAGTATATCTAGGTTTAATTTTTTAAACGTTTTTAGTTGTTTCCTTTTTTGAACTAAAGAAAATATTTAAAAGGAAAAATGGAATCTCCGCTCTAAATTCATTTTTTCTTTGAAGCCTTTGGATTAGAAGAGAGACATCGCAGGTTGGAAAATGAGAAATGAGATAGCTCAGAAAGATCATTTCATCTACCAAAGTTCCAAAGCATAATTTCAGATTGATATGATCCTATAGTATGTGTCAAACTTTTATAGTGTAAATATACATATGTTGGGAAGGGAGATACGTTTTCTAGGAAAAGCTTTTCCTAGAGGGAGGAAAACAAGGGAAGCATAGTAGTACCTGTCAAGAGCCCTGAATGGGGAACCCAAAGACTCTCTCTGTCACTCCCTAGTTGTATGACTCCAGGGCAGCCTATGTTCCCTCCACGGGCTCAGTTTTTTCAACTGTAAAATGAGGGGCTTTAACTAGCTCCCTTCCAGCTCTCCAAATCTCTGACTCTAAGAATGTGTTTAGTGACTAGAACATCACAGGCATTGCTATGGGATGTTGGTTTTTGAGTCTTGTGCCTCATTAATTTGGTGATGACTGTGAGCCTCTTAATTAGCATGAGTTAGGTGGACAGTGTGGGTTGGGATATTTATGAAACTCAGCAAATTGTACATTACTGATATCCGAAGAAACTGCCCAACCCGTGGTTGCTCTTAGAGGCAGAAAACCAGGGTTGCCCTTGCTTTTATGAAAAGATAATGATACCAAATCCCTTTGGAAAGCAGAGCACTCTCACAAATACTGTCTCATTCCATCTTTATAACAGCCCTGTGAAGGAAATAGACCAGAAATAACTAGTCTCATTTTACAAGTGAGTTTACAAACTCTTATTGTCTGCTGATTATACAGGTATGAGCCAGTTTGCCAGGTGGTATGGGAGTACAGAAAAACCACAGAGTCTCTGGCTCACGGAGGTCACTGGAGAAAGCGAAGTACACGATGATTTGCCCAAGATTACAGAATTTCTTTGAGTGAAGGCAGGATGAGGATTCTAGTCTTCTGACCTCTTGGCTAAGGCTTTTTTTCATTGTGGCAAATGAAGAGATAAACTCATATGGAATGAAGGTCCCAGTTTTCCATGCCAGGAAGGAAGATAATTTAAAAGCTAACGATCTCTAAGTCTTTTTTAGCTAACCTCATTTTAAGAAGCAGGGATTTTGTTTCCATTTATATGAGGCATTAAGAAGATGTTTCATTTCCATACCAAATGAAGTCACCGGTTGATGTTTCTGTAGATGAAACACAGAGATTAAAAATTCTAATTTCACATTCATGCCACATTTATTGTCGCTTTATACCTTAAAGGCCCATTCGGGGACTTAGGTGTCGTTGATGCCACATTATGAGAGGATGCAGCCCATCTTGTCTCTTGCATTATCACATTCCACCTGCCTCCTCTGTGATCATGTACCAAGCGCTTTCTCTTTCCGTTCTCCCCTTCCTGTAGATCCAGCTTTCCAAAATTGGGCCACCTTTCATTATCAAGAGCCAGCCAGTCTCCAAACCAGAGTCTCGAGCATCCCCTAGCACATCGGTCGGCGGTGGGAGGAACACAGGAGCCAGGACCCTTGCAGACATCAAGGCCCGGGCCCAGCAAGCGAGGGCCCAGCGAGAGGCGGCCGCGGCAGCTGCTGTAGCCGCCGCGGCGAGCATCGTCTCGGGAGCCATGGGGAGCCCAGGAGAGGGTGGAAAGGCGAGAACCCTGGCACATATCAAAGAGCAGACAAAGGCGAAGCTCTTTGCAAAGCATCAAGCCCGAGCCCACCTCTTCCAGAACACTAAAGAGTCCCGGTTGCCTCCGCTCGGCTCAAAGGAAGGGCCTCCAAGCTTAGAAGTCTCTTCTACCCCTGAAACAAAAATTGAGGGGTCAACCGGCGTGATTATTGTCAATCCAAACTGCAGATCTCCTAGCAACAAGTCTGCGCACCTCCGGGAGACCACCACTGTATTACAGCAGTCTCTTAACCCAGCTAAACTTCCAGAAACTGCCACGGACTTATCTGTGCATAGTTCTGACGAGAATATACCCATGTCACATTTATCTGAGAAAATTGTTTCATCTACCTCTTCTGAAAATAGCAGTGTGCCCATGCTTTTTAATAAAAATTCTGTCCCTGTGTCTGTTTGCAGCACTGCTATGTCGGGAGCAATTAAAGAACATCCCTTTGTGAGTTCTGTTGATAAATCCTCTGTTCTAATGTCTGTCGACAGTGCAAACACCACAATTTCTGCTTGTAATATAAGCATGTTGAAAACCATCCAGGGAACGGACACTCCGTGCATAGCCATTATACCAAAATGTATTGAAAGCACTCCTGTCCCCGTCCCGGCCGAGGGCTGCAGTGTCTCGAGCCCCACGGACGACAAGCAGTTGCTACTGTCCGGCCACAGTGCTGGTAACCTGGTCCCCAGCCAGTATGCCTCCGTGCCAACTCCCTCCGTTGGAAATAACTTGCCAAACCATCCATCCACGAGCTCCGTCTTGATTCCCCCGACGGGACTTAGCGGCAGATTTCCTTCTGAGAAGCTAGCCATGCCTGGGAGTGAAGAACAGCCCCCCGGGCCCCTGGGTACCACTGTGAGAGCCGCCCTGAGCTGCAGGGAGTCGGCCGCGGCCACAGACGCTCTGGCCGCACGCCCACCTGTTGCAGTGTTTACTGGAAGCATGCTGACCGTAAACTCCTACGAGAGTCCTCCCAAGTTAAGCGCGGAGAGCTCGGACAAACATTCCGGGCCTCGAAACAGGGCAGACGGTTCTGGGAAACCTCAGCCACCTGCGGGGGGCTTCGCACCAGCAGCCGTAAACAGGTCGATCCCGTGTAAAGTCATCGTGGACCACAGCGCCACGCTGACCTCCACTCTGTCTCTGACCGTCTCCATCGAGAGCGCAGACGCCACCTTGGACCTCCAGAGCAGGTCCGCGAGGACAGAAGCCTCCGCGCAGCCCGTGGCGTGCCCCCAGGTGTCTGTCATCAGCAGGCCCGAGGCGGCTGCCCCCGAAGGCGTAGACCACGGCTCGGGTTTCCTCAGCGCCGCCGCGGCGAAGCAGGAGCGCACCACGGCGCCGGCAGCCTGCTCGGGGCTCCGGGAAGGAGCCCTGGTGCTTCCGGACAAACGAAGCGAAGGGCCCGCTCCTAGTGCTGGCTTTGCCGAGCAGGCACGCGGCCCCGCCGCTTTCCAAAGTGAAGCCGACCCGAGCTGCAGCAGTCGGTACAACCCAGGCAGCCGGATTTGCTGGAACGATGAGGGCCTGCGGAGCGCAGGGCAGCCCCTGGGTGGTCACCCTGCTTCAGGTAAACAGAGGGAGTATCTGGAGCAGAGCTGCCCGAAGGCCGTCAAAACTGAGCACACCAGCTACTCCCACATGTCAGAACTTCACCCCAGGAGTCTCCTAACGAGCGTCACTCTCCCCGTGAAGTCCGAACCTCATGAAGTGGACAAGGGCTTGAGAATGGACACTGAAGACTTCCCCGGCCCTGAGCTGCCTCCTGCGGCCGCGGAGGTCGCCCCCAGCCTGCCGCAGACGCAGACCGTGAAGGCTCCCTCCTCTGGCCCCATGGAAGAGGCCATTTCCTTGGCTACAGACCCCCTGAAAAGAGTCCCCAGCGCAGGGGGCTCCGGCGGCCGGCTGTCCTCTGTGGAGGCTAACAATCCACTGGTGACACAGCTACTCCAGGGCAACCTGCCTTTGGAAAAGGTGTTGCCTCAGCCCAGACTGGGAGCCAAGCTCGAGATCAGCAGGCTCCCTCTGCCTCTTCAAACTACCTCAGCGGGGAAGACAGCACCGGAGAGGACCATCGTCGAAATGCCGTCCAGCTCTCCGAACCCGGACGGGAAGGGCTACCTGGCGGGGACCCTCGCGCCACTACAGATGAGAAAGCGAGACAACCACCCCAAAAAGAGAGTCGCCAGGACTGTGGGGGAGCACGCTCAAGTTAAATGCGAGCCGGGGAAATTGTTGGTGGAGCCAGATGCGAAAGGGGTGCCTTGTGTCATCAGCTCGGGCCTGACCCCGCTAGGAGGACACAGCCAGCCGTTTAAGCAGGAGTGGCTGAACAAGCATCCCATGCAGAACAGAATTGTTCATAGCCCTGAGGTCAAACAGCAGAAGCGGCTTCTCCCCTCCTGTAGCTTCCAGCAGAACCTCTTCCACGTCGAGAAGAACGGCAGCTTCCACCCTGATGCTGGTACCTCACACAGACAGCAGTTTTACCAAATGCCTGTGGCTGCCAGGGGTCCCATTCCGAGTGTAGCCCTGTTACAGGCCTCTGCCAAGAGCCCCGTGGGCTGCAATGCGTTTGCCTTCAACAGGCATCTTGAACAGAAGGCACTGGGAGAGGTTGGCCATTCTTCTGCACCACACCAGCTAAGGTTAGCCAACATGGTATCCCCCAACATGCCCATTAAAGAAGGTGATGATGTGGGAGGGGCTGCCCACGCAATGCCAAACAAAGCGGTCGCGCATCCCCCGCCCCCGCCC